ATGTCTATGGATGTGATGGTTAAGTTCCTTCTTATTTGTAGCTCTTCAACTGGAACAGGAATTTGATGACTTCAGACCCCTCCAAGTGTCCCTATTTTCCAGGGACCGTCCCGGATTTACAGAAGCCGTCCTGGTTTCTGATTTGATCCCAGGATGATGATGATGATAATGATAATAATGATAATAATTTATTATTTATACCCCGCCGATCTGGCTGGGTTTCCCCAGCGACTCTGGGCGGCTTCCAACAAAAGATTAAAATACAACAGTCCATCAAACTTCCCTAAACAGGGCTACCTTCAGATGTCTTCTAAAAGTCTGGTAGTTGTTTTTCTCTTTGACATCTGGTGGGAGGGTGTTCCACAGGGCGGGTGCCACTACTGAGAAGGCCCTCTGCTTTTCCTTATATGGATTGGGTAGTATAGAAATTTGGGAAATGAATTAATGGAATTTTATAGGCTTTGGATCCCGACAGGTGAAATTCTATTCCTATACCATGAAATCAAAATGATAATTAATTTTTTTTAAAAAATCAAGACATCACCAAGGCAAAACAAAATATGCTCCACAGGATTCTATTACTACTGTTCATTAAAGCAGCTGTAAGCATTAATATTTTCCTACAGGAATGGAGGCTGTATTTCTTCACAATCAGTCAGTCACATTGAGTAAAAAGAACATAATAATGCAGCCACTTCTGTTGGTGGTGCATTCAGGGACGTTGCAATACATTTCTCAAGGGCATGCATAATAACGTCTCCAAGGAAGAATACATATATTCACTTTATATGTTACAAGTGTATCTCAGGAACAGCCTAGTCTTGAGCATAAGTAGTTTAGGACTAATTAATCAAACAAACAAACATACATACACATAGCACTTATAGGACCTGTCACTGGATAATAAGTGCCAACAGTGCAGGGTGAGGGCTAAAAATATGTAAATTAATCCATAATACTTTACAGTAGTGGGTTTTTGTTGTGTGTTTTTTTACCATGAACGTATATAAGAGGAATCTAGATTTATCCTAGTTATCTGAATATTCAGCTAACAACTGCTTGAGAGCAGTCTATCGTTGACTTTCACTGTATAAAAGGGAAGATTCTCCCCCCCCCCATCCTTCTGGACATATTTAGAATGGAGTGTTAAAAATATACTGTGCTACAATCTTCCTTTGGGAAAAATGATTACCAGACAGAGCTAAATAAATATTTTACATCCAATATTTTTTTTTTAAAAAGAGGGTGTTTATATGTATTCTTATTTTTTGTGAAAGGGCTTTTTTTGTTTAAATGCACAAGAATAGAATATTAAACTGAATTCTATTCTTTGCTATGGATCATATTTTCGTGTGACCACTGACACTTTAGATCGGGGTGGGAAACCCTTTATAGCCTGATAGCTGCATTCCATTTTAGGCATTATCTGATGGTAACTGGCCCACAGTGGGTGGAACCAGGGGCAAAAAGTGAGCAGAACAATGAAATAATTGGAATTTTTTTTATTTGTTTTCACATTTGTACAACAGGCTAGTTTCTGCACACACTCACACATCCCTCTCTATTCTCCATTCACACAAGCAAGAGGCATTATTGAAATTGAAGGATACATCCCATTAAGGTATCACATAGTTCTCTTTGCAGTTCAAAGTGTATAACAATTGGCACCAAGGTGCTTTGAAGTACATTGTGTATGTGTTGTTTTAACAGAGAGCAGCTGGAACCCTTGTTTTATTTAATTCTGCTATAAGGCATATAGTAGTGAAAGGGAGAACCTTGAAAGGTGTCTGTCATAGAAATAGGGGATTCTAGGCATCCATTCAGGAGTGGGGTCAACAACGTTTTGGGGCTAATGGGCATGTTTGGAATTTAGAAAAGGTGCCATGGGTGCCAATCATAAAATGGCAGCCGTGGAAGGCATGTCATAATGTGAGGTGTGGCATAACACAAAATGGTTGACACATCTAAAAGAGCAGAAGAAGACACAGGACCACAATATGAAGTGGACGCACCTCACCATTAATGGGAGTGGGGGGAGACCAAATCAGCCACTTGCTCACAGAACGGAAGGATGGAGGGGGACCTATTCCTGGCATCCTGTGAAATGTGGGAATGTTTAAAGAAGAAGCTCAATGGAGGGAGGAAGAGTCAGTCCAAAGAGAAATAGTCTCTCGTGTACTGTGAATTTTTCAGGGGTTATTACTCTGATCTTTTGTAGTCACCACAGAACATAATGATGGTCAGTTTAGCACCCAGGAGTGCTGTGTTGGTAACCCCTGACTAGAATAACTTACGATGAAACTGGCTTTCTGCGTAGGTATCTGTAATTAGAATAGTGTAATCTATTATTCCTAGACTTGTTATGAACACCTCACTCATAAACACATGAAATTAAATCCCAGTGATTTAGTCAGAACTTATATGCATTTAGCTTTAGCCTACTATTTGAATACAGATAACAGTCCAGCCTTTGGGCTTTTCAAGCACCCTTTTATTTGAAGATGTCAGAAATCTTTACGAACATTAATTACATCTCTCCAGGTAGGGAACTAATATATAGTCAGAAAATTGAAAAGTGGAGGGGGCCTGAGGATACACAGAAAGTCCTGAGTTTGCAAGAGCAAGGTGTGCTTTTCTTGTCTTATTTACCTAGCAGCAGGGCCATATTTTCAGGTTGCGCTTGATCACAAGTACAAGGCACAGGAGCTTGAACTGCATAGAGGAGGAGTATCTGGACGAGACGCCTGACAGCCCTTGCTCAGGCTCACGATAATGAACTCAGTATCTTCTCCCTGCAGTTGTAGCTGGAGGACTGGGATCAGCAGACTGAGTTCAAATTGCATTAAAAAACCTTTTAGGGGGGAAAATATTTAGCCTCCTGGCCAGAAGACCTTTCCCTTCATCCTTTTCATGGGTTTTCTGTCTTGGATCAACTCTCCTAAGCTATTTCTGTCTTGACTTGACTTTGAAAGCTGTCACTCAGGGTCTGATCATTCTCATTAATACCTGAGAGCAAACTCTCCTTTTCTGTAACTAGGTTTTTACACACAGCAAAAAGAAGTCCCCAGATCAAGCAAAGACAGGTAGCTGGTGAGGGGTGTGTGTGAAGGAATGGAGTATTTTATCCAAAACTCCAGTTTGTTGTTGTTGTTTTAAATCTTTCTGAGCACCACACAATTCATAAATAAATGAGAATACTTAAGCAGGAGATGGGCATCAGCTTGCCCCACATGAGCCTTGGCACAGTAACATTTTAAAATATGAAGTTTCAGTCACTGAGTCTTTAGTTAAGTCTGTGTTTAAGTGCAGCCTTCTAATGAGCTTCTGATATGACAGCCGTCTAAAATTATTTTTAGTATAAGCTGCATAAAACTCAGACCCACTTCTGGGTTTATATTTCAGGATAGTGGTTTGGAAATGTGTGTAGTACAATGGAGTGGCCTGAAAAAGGTCAAAGATACTTTGTAACGTGAAAGACAAGCACCAGAAATATGAAAGCGATGAAGAGACTTGCGGCACCTTCAAGTCTAACACATTTATTGTGGTATATAAGGCTAAGGGTAAATCTGAAAGCCACAACCCTTCTCTCTTTTTTTAGGGCTGTCCACTTTGACTCTTTTGCCTTGCCCATTTTCACATTCAGCCCCCAGAAGGTTTGCAATGAGGTAATATGGTCTTCAGACCATTCCTGATAGACGAGCTTTTGTAGACTAGTCTACCTAGGCTTACGTGGTAACAGGTTTGTTAGTCATTAAGGTGCTACAAGATATGGCTTCTCCTCTGGAAATTGTTGAAAGAATTACAGGATGCCTGTGTAAGAACATAGAGAAGATCCCTCCTAGATCAGGTCCATGGCCCATTTAGTCCAGCATCCCATCTCACAGTGGCCAACCAGATGCCTATGGGAAGTATGCAAGCAAGAGAAACACAACAGTACTCTTCCCACTTGTGATTCCCAGCAACTGGCACATTTTTGGGAAGCAGAACAGTGTATGCTGCTCAGAATGCGCAGAGCTAATTTATGAAGTGTTCTAAATTCCAAGCAAATTTTGGCTGAGATGTCAATATGCTAAGAGAGCATAGCTGTCAACGTTTCCCTTTTTTTAAGGGAAATTCCCTTATTCTGAATGGGATTCCTCGCAAGAAAAGGGAAAAGTTGACAGCTATGTAAGAGAGGGGATTGGTTTGGAATCCCTGCTCCGCACCCCTAGTTTTTGGCAATATTTTCTGTGCAGGTATGCTCCTAGTACCGTATTGGCCTGAATATAAGCCTCACTTTCCCCCCCAAAAAAATCTAACCATGAAAATTTAAAGTGCGGCTTAAACTTTACAAAAATTGGCTTTTACATTATCACTGCTGAAACATACATACGGTAAAACAGAACAGGTGTGAGTGCCTGCGGAGTTTTAAGGGAGTGGCTTATATTCAGGTATTGTCTTTTTTTTCCTCCCCCCCCCCCGAATTTTAAAGGTGCAGCTTATATTCAGCTGCGGCTTATATGTGGGCCAGTACGGTACATAGAAAATTTAATTCAGTCCCCTTAGGATTTCATGTGTCATGTACTAGTATGTTGTTATTCTCATTTCACAAGGCCATGAATCTGTGGCCATGGTTAGATTGAAACATAAGCTAAGAAACAGGTCCCTTAGTTAGGTGTTCTCCCTTGCCAACCACGTTCCCTCATCCCTACCACCTATGTCCCATCAGCCCCTGTGCATTCAGGATGATCCTCTGCAGTGGGGAACTGGCTCTCCTAACAGTTTCCCTGTGCAATTAGCGATGATTAGGAGGGATTCTACATTGCAAGGGGAGTGTCCATGAGTACAGCTAACTCTCTGATTCAGGCATTCAGCCCCAACATATGAAGGACGGTGAGAACATAATGGAGGAAGAAGGGCAGGCAAGTGCCCCCCTTCCCTTCCCTTCCCTTCCCTTCCCTTCCCTTCCCTTCCCTTCCCTTCTCTCCCCTCATGCTGGAACAGGGCTAGAATTCGGAAGGGCCATGGCTCAATTGTAGAGCATCTGCCTTGCATGCAGAAGGTCCCAGCATCGCCAGGTAGATCTGGGAGAAATCCTGCTTGAAACCCTGGAGTGCTGCTGTCAGTCAATGTAGACCAGGGTTTCCCAAACTTGGTTCTCCAGCTGTTTTTGGACTACACTTCCCATCATCCCTGCTGGCAAGTTGTAGTCCAAAAACAGCTGGAGACCCAAGTTTGGAAAACCCTGGTGTAGACAATACTGACCTAGATGGGTCGATGGTCTGACTCACGTTCCCAGTGCTGTCAGAATCCACCCTTCAAGAGCCATCTGGTGATCAGCTTGGTGGGTAATAATGGAACCATTAGCCCATCTTTCTGAATTGTATTTCTTAAACGGACAAGCCTTCCTGTTTGGCCACACAGGTGCCTCTCATTTCTTGTCCTCTTGTCAGGAAGGTATGAATTGTTTCTTCCATCCTCCTTTTTCTTTCTGAGGATAATAAAAAGCTCTGTCGCCACCTGTCTCATGCCCACCTTTGGCAGGTCTGACGTTGATAGGTTTTGCAGAGAAGGAACTTAGGTTTATTTGCTTTTTGAGAAGCTCAGTTGCTTCTCTCCACCCCAGGCTTGCACATATTTCACTAGCTGGTGAGAGCCTGCATGCTGCTGGCTTAAAGTCAGGGCTTTAAAAAATCTCATAAAAATTTGAAATACCTATCTTTATTCAGTCTTCTCAGGAAATCTCAGCAAAGCCCTTTGTAACTGAAAATGTATTATAGCTTTTAAAAGGCACTGTGGGTAACAATTTCACATTATTATTTTTTTCCCAAGATACTCAGAAAATCACCTTATGATGCCAGTTTCAGACGAAAGGAATCTGGGCGATTGCATGGGAGCGTAATTCAAGCCTGACCCTTAATTCCTTAGCAGTTCAGTGCATACTTTAGTGGAAGCGTAATGCCAAAGCTCATTTGTTAAAATGACATCCAGTGGAAGCACTTTTATAACAAGTGGGCTAAAAGTCTGATGTTATAGAGAGTGTCTGAACTAGAGACAAAGCCATCAGGAATAACGCCTCCAAAACCCAAGCATAGGAAGTCTGCAATTCAGTGTATATATATGATTTAACACCTAAGCGAGAGTAACTGTAGTTGCTCATGTTCATCCTTTGTCTTCCTCATTCCTTTACACTCACTGATGCTTGTTACTCTTGCCTCGTCTTTCACTCCTCTCAGCTGTTGGGTTATATTTATTTATTCTATATCCATCTATCACAGGCATAGGCAAACTCAGCCCTCCAGATGTTTTGGGACTACAGCTCCCATCATCCCTGACCACTGGTCCTGTTAGCTACAGATGATGGGAGTTGTAGTCCCAAAACATATGGAGGGCCAGGTTTGCCTATGCCTGATCTATCATCTATCTATCTACCTATAATCTCAACTCTCCTTATCATTTAGGGTGGCTAACAGTGATTAAGACCATCTACAAAATTCAATAGTATTCCAACAACAATATAATAAAAACAGAGACAAGTGCAAACGCCTGCCTAAATGGGAAGCTTTTTTTTTTTTGCCATATAGCCAAACAGCGTAAGTGAGGTGTCCAACCAAGTCTTCTGGAGCAAAGAATTTTAGGTGCGGGTACAGAGAAGGCCCTTCTCTTCTTTCCATCAACTGAGCCTAACTATTGTCAATGGAACATATAATTTTTTAAAAATATATTTAGTTATTTAAACAATTTCTATTCCACCTTTCCTGACTGTGCACAAGATGGTTTATAATAAAACAATAGATCATAAAATATAAAACCATAAACGGAAGGCCAGAGAGAGAGAGAGAGAGACAGAGAGGGGGAAAAGAAAGAGAATGCTTGCAGGGATGTAATAATCTTCACAAAAAGCAGTCGGTGAAGGGGCAAAGCGCAACTCTCTCTGCAAGCTTTTCTACATTCTAGGTGCCACAACTGAGAAGGCTTTCTTTCTTCCGCTTGGGTATCTAACCTCAGATGACAAGGAAATGCAGATGATGCTCCCTAATGGAAGACAGTCCTTGATCAAACCCTGATGTATTGCACTAAACTGTGATAACAGAATTATGGCTGATGGCAAAGATGGTGTTTGTCTCAGGCAGGTGATCCCTGCAGTGGCGTAGCGTGGGTTGTCAGCACCCGGGGCAAGGCAAGTAATTTGCGCCCCCTGAGAGAGAGAGTGAGTGAGCCAGGTAGGGGCAGAGAGCTGCGGCCGGCCCCCCCCCTGCACCCCCCACGCTACGCCACTGGATCCCTGCATGTACCATGGTATATGTACATAGCATTTTGCATATGCATAGTACATGGAATCATAAAAGAGAATAAAAGTGATAAAGCAATACTGCTAAACAATCCACTTTGCACTGGAATCTAGTCAACATAAACTCTTGGTTGAGCCTAGAGCAGTTCTACACTCCATTAATTACAATCATGAATTATTCTTATTCCAAAGTGCTGCTCTCCTTGGATTTCCAGTGCTTCCACTTGTCCTCTGATCATGAGTCGTTTGCAACTGGACATTACTACATCCTGACAGTCCTGCAGACATACTTAGATATAAGCTGCCAAAGAACATCTCACAGCATTAATGTAATGGCATGTGAATTTGCTTGACTTGATCTTACATAATCCATTAAAATCTTCACAAATAGCATGGGCTGAATCAGACTTGCTAATAGAAATAGAGTCCTTGCTCTTGTTTCCTAGATAAATTGACTACTAATATAAACGCAGCAAGATGAGCACCCAGACCCTTTCGTGAACGCCTTGCGATTGTGAAAGTGGCATGTATCATTGAGCAATGGTGTGAATTATATATAATCCAATTGAAAGTGCTGCTTGCTTCTAAACTTTGCCTTGTAATCCTGCTCAGACTGTGACTTCTTATATTTCTTGAGGATGAAGGACCGAGGGCTGTAGTGGGTGGATAGGAAATAGGTTTACGGAAGGGAGCAAGCTAATAGGTCATGAGCGTCAACATAAATTAAATGCTTTAGCAAGGTTTATTGTCATTAAGGTTCATGATTTTCATTAGAAAAAGATGTTCACTCAAACACATCTAAACTTCTGGAAACTTCAAATCACATAAGTGGGTCATGATTTTGCAGCACGGGTTTCTCTCTGCTTGTTTCATTGATTCTAGGGCATAGTTATATAACGTTTTCCAGACCACACTGTTTATACATTGATAAGGGGGAAAGGGACATAATTAATAGCTGCAGAGTTCCCTCCCTCTATTTTTAATTTGAGGGAAAGGGGTTGGGAGAAACATCCTTGCCTTGAGGTGAGAAGGCCATGTCCTATATTTAAATAAAATCAGTCAGCTGGCAATTCATTGAACACTGACTGAGGAAGAAGAGTGTATTGAATTTTTTTATTAAACAAAAAAACCTCACTGGAGGACATAGAAAGATGAAAGGTGCAATGCACCAGGAACAGTTAAATGAAAATGTTGAGTGTGTGTGCAGCTGCTGTGAAAAAAGGTGAATTTCATGTTGGTGATCATTACCCTTTGACAGCGAAGGTACCGGTATTTTGTTCTGTGGGACCCACAGAAGATCCACCTCGTTTGCTAAATTCATA